AGGGGAAAAATACCCTCGCAAGGCACTGTTAAATCCAAATTATTGGAGTCGGTTTCTTTATCAGTTTTGGATGAGGGCGTGTCAGGCTACTGCACAAGCTTCAGCAGAGCCTATGGCTATAAATCAGAATTAATATCGATTTAAAGCGGGAGTTTGAGACAGAAGGAAGAGTAGATTAGTTTTGTTTGCTTTGCCTGGAGTCTTTGAAACAGACTGTAGGATCTACCAGGAAGTTTTAAGGCCTAATTTCTGACAGGACAGTATGTCTTGTCCTAGCTTGTTCTTAATAAAGCTTCTAGCAGGAAACAACAAACAGAAATCTGCCAGTCGTATGGGCCACAGGTTACTTTAACATTTTTCGTCACACAACTCCGACTTCTACAAACAAAGGATGTTTATAGGTTACCTTTCTATGTGCATTTCTATGGAAAGAGGAAACATCATTCAGTGAAATCTGTTAAATACTTTACTGTGAGAAACTTGTTTCCCATTACATGTTATTTACACTTGTGCTGAAGTTGTACTATGTGCACATGCAGAGTACACAAATACAGAAGCATTTGTTGGCAGTTGTGAAAACTAATAATAAACTTAAAGACTTCTGCCAAACAAGTGATGTGTTGCTATTAATATGTTGGGAGCCAGCAGTCCACACACTCACTGTTGTGAAACACATGTGCATGCATAGTTGTGCACAAGAACTCCAGTGTTTGTCGACAGGTGATGCTAAAAATACATAGGTCCGATTGCGTGCACTAAAACCTGCACAAAAGGGCCTCAGTGCTCCTTCAAAAGAAACAAATGGCAACTATTAATACACGTGCACCAGCACTGATGCACTAATGCATGCGAATGCACCATCAACTGTCACACAAACAGACCCTGCTTATGCAAACACAAAGACCTGCTGTGTACGCTCAAAAGAACCAACTGCAGGCTATTAATATCTTTAGATGCATAGGATGGACCCACACAGGAGGATGAACACATTAGGAGATTGATACTCCAGCTGCTCGGAAGCAGAGGGACAGAATGTGCCCAGCAGCTGTTGATTCCTATAAACGTAAGGAATGGGGTTTGCAGGGAGGATACTGCCAAGCACGGTGAGGTAACTGTCATGTTATGGTCCACAGCAGCATGAAAGATCTCTGTCTCTGCCTTTGCATTGTGAAACTAAAGGTTTTATATAAATATATATATATATGCATGTGTTTGTGTGATTGTGTTTTCATGTATTTGTGCAACATGACAGATATTCTCTTGTCGATCTAATAATGCAAAACATCCTCAAAATACACATTGATGTTTTCATCTGGTAACACTTAATCCTATATTTAACTTGAGCTTAACTCTTTGTGTATTCCAGCCAGAAAACAATCTCTCCATATTTACGTTTTCTCGTCGAAAGAATTACTGCTGACAGAACATCTGTGAATCTCTCGAGCTGCAGTGAGGCCATTCAACCAAAATAGCAGCTTCTGCTTGCCTAAATGAACCTAGAGGATGTTATGGTGCAGACTAACTTTAGAAACAGGAAGTCACTGTTTCTGTGTGAGTGTGTGTCTTTGCTTGGGTGTGCATGCACACACCAGCGAACACTAAACCTGTGTGTTTGTTGTGCGTGTGCACATGTGCGTTAGTGTTCATGTGCTGCTGCGCTGGGCCCACAGAAAGAGGATGATCGTGTGAAACGAATATGCTATTACAGAAACCAGAAGTTTGCCTCCTGCTATTTTTAGCTCGACAACGCGTAAAGGAGAGACAGAAAAGCTAGCATGCAGATCTTATCAACCTGTTCTTCTTTATTTCTGCTAGATTTTCCTGCAGTTATGTTTATTCTTATATTTTTAGAGCTCAGCTGGTAAATGGATGTTACACTTGAAAAAGCCAAATCCACAGTAAATACTCTTGTAAAGTAGTGTTGAAATTCTCTTGAAGAACACTTGGTAATATGATAGGAAGTAATCATGAGTGCCTCAAGTCCCTCAGGCTGAATGAGGATGAAATCTTATCTGCCGAGTTGGCTCTTTGAATGCGGAGTGCAGTGACCAAGCTGGTTTTGTGTCAAGTCATACGTCATGAGTCACGGTGAAACTTTGCCTTCAGATACATCATTAGTGCCCAAACTCCAGGTGTTTGGTAAGCATTATTCTGACAGACTCTTCCAAGGATGATTTTAGATCTCATTTAGATGTCTTTTTTTTAATGCCTCAAATAGTTAGAAGCTGCTGTTTCTGATGCATGAAAATCATTTCAGTTCCAAGTTGAATCAGTCAATCACCCTGCTTTTTTTTCCCATGTGTGCAACCAAAAGCTTGAATCTTTTGCAAACAATTCTCTAATTGTTTTACAGAAATCCCACAACTTTTATACAATGCACCTTAAAGTCAACATCCACAGTTTGTCCCGTTGTTCACAGTTTATAGAACTCTCTAACAGTCGGGACAGAAAAAGACCCGTTGTAGTTTCTTTCTTTGTAAAAACATGCCGCAGGTGTTCCTTTTCTGACTTTGAGATTATTTCCTTTCAAAGCGGATGGTTGTTTGTTGCTTGTGTGTGTTTCTGTGGATGTGAAAGTGTTTGCATACTATCTCAGTCCCCTCCACCACCACTCGTCTACTGATTGCTTGATTTCGTTTAGAAGACGCTCTTCTGGTAATTCACACTGTGCTGCTGTGACTGGTTCTTCCTGACATCTTTATTTTGTGGTGTTGGAAAGAAAAAAAAACATTTAAGGCAAAAAATAAACAATCAACATTACTGAATACTGTAAAGTCTGAAAATTTAAATTCACTATATTCATTTCTTAGAAATTGTGGTTGATATGTTTGTGTAATGTGATGCTCCAAAAATTCAGATGTTTTTGCTCTCACACAGACATGCTGCTTCACTTTTACTTTCTCAGTATAAATACAAACATATTTTTGGATGTCTGGCCAAATCTGTTGACCAACTTTCATTCTGAATTCTACGAAGTGTTTTTGATTTGCAAATCAGTCTGCTGTTATTGAGTGTCCACCTGTTTTCACCGCTGAGTGTCGGTCCCATGCAATGTTCAGTAATTGCGTGGGAGTGTTTTCTGTTTTCAGGGGAACTCTCTTGTCGACGTCAAACACATTTCTTTATTTCTGTTTCACAATCTGTGTAACTGTAAAACAATGAGAGCTGTGTTTTCTATGCTGCAGCAGGGTGACACCAGAATTGATAACATCTAAATAATATTTATTTTTTTCCTAAAGGAAATGAAAGGTTTTGTCGAGAATGAATTACACGGCAGCGATGACCTTAGCAGCTCTGATCTCATCACAGAAAATTTGCTAGGTGACAGTAATATTTGCCTTTGGTCCATCGTTTTCTCCGTCGCTGTTCCCCAAGGGGAGCAAGGTGTTTCATTCCATGCACCGTATCTACACTTTTGTATCAATACGGGAACATGCCTTTATACATTTCTTAGTTTTAGGTTTCAGTTGGTTTTATATTACCTGTATGTTTGCATATTATGGGCCTTTGCCAGGTTTCACTTTTTCTAGCTTCTTTTTCTTACTATTATTAGCCCTCTGGTCAGTTCTGTCTTTGTAGCTCAGACCATGAGATTATATTTGTCCCCCAATGCCACGGCTGGAGTTCTTGCACCAAAAAGGGTTGTTATTTATAGGTTTGTAGATTCAACCTTTGCACTACTGTGCTACATATAGAAATGTGTTTTTGTTTTGTTAAGATGCAAAAAAAGTATTTAGTTGTCTGTTTTGGTGGGGTTTTTTTTGTTGTGTTTTGTAATGGTTAAAACAAAAAATATATATATATACACAGCTCAAATCTCCAGCATCCAACCTATAACCCATATTTCTTTTGTTTTCTCTCATTTGCACCTCCTTTGTTAAAAACAAGAAGCTGTTTATTTTTCTCCCTGAAAGGAAAATGCAGAGAAAAAAGCTTTAGAGAGGCGTCTTTAGAAAAAAACTCAATGGAAACGGAGCAAAGCTGCGTTTGAGAATAAAGGATTGCTATCCTTATCATGATTGTTTACAGCTATAACACATTGTTGCCTGTCTGACAAACTTTAAATGTCTAAATATGTGCTAAATTATTCATGCCCTGAGAAGTTGTATTTTTCTGCGAAGTCACAACCACAGATTTCTATGTTACACTTTTAATGTGGTTGACAAACTCAAGACATAAATGATACTCTGGTTATTACACATGTTTGACTGCAGCCCTTTATTACTGAGTAATGGTGTGTAATTTATTCCCAGTATACGAAGGACATAAAAGAGGGTAAAAGAACAGCTGTTGGGGTCAAAGTTGAAAGTCCTTTTATTTTCTTTTATTATGAAAAAAGGGGTTGCGGACCCCCTCTTGAAGACCTCCGCATTAGAGGAAAGAAAGCAGAAAGCTCTGGATAGGATTAAAGTGGGCTTAATTGCAACATCCAAAAGTGGAAAAGAATATGCCTAACCTTCCAGGAAGTAAACATGCGCTTACACTGAAAGGCTCAGAAAAACCAACAACAGACTGACTCAGGGGGCGGAGATGCACATCAGGTGAAACAACGTCTCTTATTCTTTTGCTGCAGTATGTGGGTCTTAAAACTAACCACACATCACACTGAACACTGCCCCTAGCTTTAAAGCACAGTGGTGGCTTCATGATGCGGGGGGGACACAGCAGGAACAAGGAAGCTGAAGTAGAAGATAACTAAGGCTACATTCAGTTTTGAGCAAATTTATAAAACCTTTTCAAAAGGTCAAGCTCTGGAGGTGCAAAGCTGATTGACACACTTAAAATTAATTGAAATACATCCTGCTTGTGGTTTTTAATTTTGACATTTTTTTTTTTTTTTGAAGACATGTTTTATTTTTTAGGTAATTATTTTTTTTCCTTAGAAAATGTACAGTTTTAACATTTAAAATACAGTAGAAAATTTGTTAAAAGTTGAAGACTTAAACTAAAGCTTCTTCCAGTGTCTCAGCTCATCATTTCTCTTTTGTCCCCTTGTATAGTGGATGTGACCCTCAGCAGTGAGAGCTGACTGCCCGTGCGTGGGGTCAAACCCATGGATCTGACTGTGACACACAGGTTATTACCTCAACGCCCCGATTCGGCCATGCTGGCTCCACAGCCTTCTTTCTACTTGGAGCACCTCACCACTCAGCATTGCCCTCAGTTTTCCCAGAACCACTTGCTGGTAAAGAAAAACTCTCAGCGATTCCAAGCATGAGTGAAACAAGGGATCGGATGAATATGTGTAGCGATCAAACATTACAACGCAGGATTTCTGTTTGACAGAAACAAGAAGATGAGGGTGATATATATGTTTTTTTTTTAAATAAAATTTAAAAATAAATTGCAAAAAGCCCAGTTTAATGCAGAAAGACCTCCTCCCTCATTAACCACAGGAAGAAGGCAGCTGCTTTCACCACAGGCTGTACCTCGGCTTTAAACTCAGCAGATATGAGCAGCAATCAGGTCAAAATGTCGACAGGCCATTTCCTCCTCGTTTCTGATTGAGCAGTAAACAGAGTTTACATTTTGCTACTGTAATAGTGTGCAAACGTGTCACCTCTCCTTTATGTAAATCTGTTATGTATTACCCTAAAAGGCTGAACCTGTGGTAACATTTACGATTTTATTTGTTTTCACAGTATAGCACTGAAGAAAGGCAGAGAAAGATGGAGGGGGAGAAAAGAGAAGACCCGCAGCAGCTGATGCAGAAGCATAAAAATGAGCAGAGTGAGTAGAGTGCTTTCGTCTTCAGATCCTTTATAAATGGTTTTAAGATTGACAGGCTGCTTATCTAAGTCATCACACAGTCTACAGTGTTTTCTCAGTGCAATGAAGGGGATTTCCACCACCGCTGCCATATATGATAGTATTTCAAAGAAATTAACAACACAAAAAATTGCACAATCCCATCAAAGGAAAAAGGCAGAAGTAACAAATAGTTTTGCGTTGCGAAACCCCATATTGTTTTTTTTTTAGTGCTAAAAATTGTATGTGAGGTATATATTTTTAAATGTCCCAAAAAAATAAGAACTCGCTACACTTGTTTCTCTGTTTGGTAGGTGCGGGAGCCAGCAAACATGTTAGGCAGCTCCTGCGTGACCATATAATCATGAAGAAGCAGCCTTCTCCCAGCAGGATTCATGACAACTACTGCAGCACACCTCAAGGATACAGGTGAGACTGGCATCCATGCTTGTTAAAAGTATTATTTGTAAAGTTCTGCTTCTCAAGTTTGATCAAATGTCTCTGACAAGATGACATACATTGCACTGTTCCTGAATGTAAACATTTTGTCATCATGCAACCACAAACTTCAAATAAACTTTAAACCCCCTAATAGGTATTTCTAAATACCTATTCTTTGCCACGAAATACTAAATCATGCGCATGGAGTACATTATGTGGCCCTTATAAGAGCAGTGTTGCCATGTTAAAAGCATTTGGGAGTTTAACCTTACCTCCCTTTTTATAATTCCATCTTTCCATGTCTAACGTCACACATTTTCCCATCTACATCCATCCTTGGTGCAGCGCAGCACTGTCTACATTTTACGACAAACACCTGCTGATTGGCCCGTCAGGGTTTCACTGACTCCTGGTACCAGAGAATCCACTTCCAAATCTCGCTTTTTCAGCTATAGAAACCCGTGATGCCCAGAACTTTAAAGGGTGACCTATAGGCTTCACCTTTAGAGCCCTTTGGTGGTGGGTTAAAGGCAGGTCAGGATTGAGTCTATATACATCCGCTCAGAACACAAACAAAGAATTTGCTCACACAGTCTGTGTTCACCATGTCCAAATATGCGTTTTGATGCTGCCTGAACAACCTAGAAACAGAGGAAATTATCTCCGGTCAAGTCAGAGCCAGAGATTGCTGCTGCTGAGGATGATGAAGGCAAAGGTTTTAAACTTTAACACTAAGACAAGCACGACTACCGTATATAAAACTATGATAAATAACTGGATTGTGCATAATGATGCATCAAAACAAGCCCTGTGTGCGTAAAGCTCTACTTAATGATCTAGAAATCATTCGGTGGTGTTTGAGGCTCCAAGTCATCTTAGGCGACAGGTCATAGTAGTTATTTCCTATCATTTTAAAGCTGTTCCCTCTTAAAGAGAAGGTCCTATCTCTTCTCTTTCTCCTCTGCCTGCATCTTCTCTAGATAGTGATCATAATCACATAAACATATTTGCATCCTTTCCTCCTTCAATTGTAACTTGAGCTGAAACGTGAAATGTTCAAGACAAACTCCAGTTGGACAGCAGCAGGTGTTATTTTACAGCACAGTCTTTCACACATCGGTACGTCAGATTATCATTCCAACCTGGCTGTCAATATATTATTTCAGCGCTTCATTAATGAGAAATCCTTTCAAAGCCAGGCTGATCAGAATCTCCCTATAGATTCTCCTACTACTAAAATAAAACTCCATCCGACTATCCTTGTCTATCATATCCGTTTGTTCCTGTAGGAAGATTATGTTTTAGTATTTAGCACCCTGATGCTATAGCTAAAATAAGTCCATTGTCCAGTTAATAAGTCCAATAAGTCCAAAAATAACAAGATAACTAATTAGTATTTCTTGGCCACAAAGTAGTATTTTGTGGGAATGAATAGGTATATTTTCTTTCCCATGTCAGTTCCCGAGCTGTTTACGAAGTTAACTAATTAGTAAATAGACTCATTGGGAACTCCTGATGCTATGGAGGGGAAATATTATAAAGCCAGACCCCTGACTTTGAGCAGCAAATTGAGAACTGTTAGATTGTTAGAATCAGAAACTAAAATGGTCACACAGCCTGGATGTCTGACCTCCTGACACTTTTACACATTGCAAAACACAGTGTGTGACTAAAAATAAAGGATTCTAAATACATCATGGCAGTTTAAAGCTAAGGGGAAAGTAACGTTGATGTGAGTTCATAGGAGATTCCTAAAGTTAGATACACAAGGAAACCAGGTTAGAAGCTGCATAAGACCTTAGACTTAAGGACTTCCAGTATGATCTTCACCCTACAGCGGAGGAGAGTTAAATACTGTATTAAAGAAATGCTCTGAAGGTGTTTGGGAGTGGAGATCAAGTTGGGCAAAAGTTTCATTGTGAATGGGTGTTTGCTACTTTGTTCATTCTGAGCTGTTATAAATTAATGTAATCCTTTTATTTCTTCTTTCTTATGTTCAATGTGTTGTTAAAAAGTCAATAAACAACTAACAAAAGGAACGTGCAAAAATGTTAGTAAGGGTTGGCTGTTGACGTACTGTATGCCAATGTTCTTATATCCCTTTTTTAAAATCAGATTTTAAATTTTTTGTAAAATTTTAAATTTGACATGGTAGCAAACCCCAGAAAATAAAAACTATGTAGTATTTATAAATACATATAGAAATGTCTTTAAAAATATGACTAAATACAGTTATTTCTGTTTAGATATTAACTTGCACTATTGATGTTACTGATATTATAAGCAAGATCTATTTAAAAACTCCTTCCTTCTAGGTTTTGCTGTTGGTTTATTGTTGATTTTAAACACATTTAATATGGTATTTAAATAAATAACTCAAAATATAGTGATGCACTTTAAAGTCCAGATTATCCATTTCCAGTTTCTGTTATAGACATGCTGCATTTACCTCAGAGGAGGTGCAGCAGGTAAAGTTATTCACTCACCTAATTCTTTGGTACTAGTTTTTACTGCCTGGACTTTCCAGCTGGTTTCCTCCCAATTGGAAATTATACACTAGCTAGTGTCACTTTGTTAAATAAAACCTTTGAAATATACTGGCATTAGTTGGTGTAAAGTGACAAAATGCTAAAGGTTCAGTAGAATTCAGTATGTTTTAAAAACATGGTTTCTTCATACCTGCCGGTGACTGAAGCTATGCATCTGATGTTGTTTAGGTTGCCTAGGCCACCAGTCTCTGACATGTCCCTGAAGCATGTACCCACACCCTCTGACCAGCGTAAGGACCTTTCCCTGCGAAGAACAGGTGAGACTCCTGTTTGTGTTGGTGACTGTAGTTGCTACCCTCAGGTTAAAACTTTTTTTTTGGAGAAGAAGAAGCTTGTGATTTTCCATCTCACAGTGGAATCTGTACTCTGAGGGAATAATGCTTCTGCATGATACCATAAACTTCCTCTTAATGAATTCAGTTTCTACATATTCTGGGCAAAGAAGGTTAAAATGCCTGAGAGAATCAGTACAGGTTTATGTGGTTTTTGAGTTTGAATGGATTTAGCGCTGAGCATCAGAGCCACAGGGCCTGACAGCAATTTACCAGTCATTATATCAGAGGCAACAATGAGTTACGAAGCAGTTATATAACTTTAACTAAAATATGTGTAAAATGAACTGTGTGAGAGTCCTGAGCTCTTCTTCTTCACTGCATGAATTAAAGTGGGAGTGGTTCCTTTTTCATACATTTCTGAAAGTACACTAACCATTCTTTTATTATGTTGCCCTAAAACCTTTAACAGAGACGCACACACCCGTGCTTTAGTTGGCACACCGACAACACAAACATAGCTTTTATCTGAGCTAAGCCTGCTATTGATTGATTACTTTGTTTGGTTTTATTGGAGAATGCCCAAAGTAAACATGGATGATTTTGAGTATTCACTAGCGCTGAAGTATTTGAACAGTTCCCTTGATCTTGATTCTGTCGCTGTTGTTTTACCCTTGTGTGTATGTATTTGTACAGTTTCTGAGCCCACACTGAAGTGGAAGTTGAAGAAACTGATCTCTGCGAGGCCTAACCCACTGCAACGAAAGATCAGCGCCCCTCCGGCTGTCAAACATAGGACAGAACCTATGGGTACGAACGTTCAAGTTTACCTCCCATGAGCTTAGCCTTTTGTTCTTTTAATCTTACACATTTCTTTGGTTGCTCTGTCTTTGGTTTATCATGTTTATCTACTCCGCCAGCGACATTTATTTGGAACCCTACCAAAAATATGTAAAAATCCCTTGAGCTTGACCATCAGCATAATAACACAGTAAAAAATTTGATGATGTTTAATGACATATTTTTTCAGTGCAGGAATTTTTTTTTTATCAATTTCAGAAAGCAGTTGTCTTTACACTAAAAGATTAATTGAAGATAAATCGTCTTGATGTTCATTTTCAAATTGAACTGAGATTTCAGTGATTTCTAGTTCTAATCTATGGCTTCCTGATACATTCATGTTGATTTACAGTTAATTTAGTTCCTGGTCACTAGGCTGGACGAAGACACATATATACCTTAGCATTCTGCACAGCTGCACAATTGTTACAGGGGTACAAAAGTCTCAAAGCTCACTGCTTTAACTACAGCAGAGAGTTAAACAGCATCATCCCTTGATGCCCAACAGTTGGTTTAGAGTGATGAACATTTCCATGTAGCATTTGCTCAACTCCAATGTAATCAAACTGGAACTGGGATCAAATGTGTTTCCTCTAAATGTTAGGATTAGGAGTTGGAAAATAACATCATAATAAACCGTGAAGTATGGTGGAGGACCTGGGGTGCTGTGGGCCTGTTTCTCTTCTCAGGCTCTTAGAATAATTAAATGAATGTTCAGTTTTTATTTCACTCCTTGGAGATAAAGTCCTGTTTTACACACATTTTCTCTTTCATTGTAAGTTTATATTTTAATGTGGATAGTAATGTGTTGTTTTTTTTCCCTTTATTCTGTCATCCAGACTCCTCTCCAAGCAGCAGCAGCACGTCAGCATCAGGCTGTAGCTCACCAAACGAAAGCCTCATGTCAGACAATGGCTCCCTGCCAAGGGCTCCTGAGGTGAAGCCACTTTTTTATGTTTCAGATAGGGTTGTGTTTTTTTCCTTTATAAGTCAACAACTAAAAATGTACTTGATTTCATTTAAATATCAAAAATGCCACCGCATCAGTTACTTAATCACATTAATTATAGAGGAAAGCTGTTATTTTCTGAAGCTTTAGAGGCGTGTTTTTCTTTGTATCTACTCTAGCTTATGAATGAAAAAATCTGAACTTGAAAAAATTATAATTAATTATTTGTTGAACTCAGCAGGTTTGCTTCTGATAGAGAGAACTAAGAAAACATGATGACTCATTGTACAACACATTTCCTTTGAGGCCTTTGTGAAATGTTATTACATTTTATCTGACTGAGCTTTTTGACACAACTCCTTTCTCAACCAGTGAGAAAACAGTGTCAGTGAAATATGTTCACAATGTGGGGACTGTTGCCTTATATTGTAGCCATGTTTTTTTGTTTTGTTTTTTTCAAGTGATGCAATTATGTTTCTTTTCCAGCTGCTTGAATATGAGAGAGATGAAGTTGTGGGATCTGTGTAGAATTTAGGTGGGAAAGGGATCATTATCAGACTCAATAATTAAGACTTCTGCTTTTTCAGTCAAAGAGGGTGCTGATGAAGAACAATAATTTGGCACACTTTGCTCTGTCTAACAACCACGCTGCTATGCACAACATCACTGCTGGACTTCCTGCACAGGTGAGCAAACAAAAATATTTGTATTCCTTCAGTGTTCAGGATTACAAAACCATCAACAATTTACCTGAACTTTGTGTCAGATTGTTTTAAGTGAAAGAGCAACAGAGTCATTGAAAATCTAAAAGTGTTGTTTTTAGTCTCTTTTAATCTGGTGCCCATCTGATTTAAATATAAGACAACCAGCTCCTCTTTATTTACATAATCATTTCACCAGTGTAATATTCTACATTAGTGAGAAAACAGCATCCTTAAGACCACAGCGAGCCCATGGAATTAGTTGCTCCATTCTGATAAGACTCACCATCCTCCAGGACAGTCACTTTAAACATAAAGCCAGCACTACTATTAAATCATTTACTTGAAAGCATTTTTATGTTATTATGACAAAAAGTCAAGACCTGAATGAAGTTCACAATCTGTGGTAGGACTTTTAAATTGTTCCTAAATGCTATCAAATCAAAATAATTAAATCATTTAAACACAGTGACTTCATAATTACCTGCTACTTTGTGCTTCTTGTGACATTCAAACAAATAACAGTGAGTTCACAGTGTAGCCGGTCTATCCTCACTCGGCTACTTCACACATGTTACAACAGCATGACAAGTTTGAGGGGCATTTGTTTCCTTCTTGCTGTGATCAGATACAGTAGAAATAAACACAATATTATCACTGGTTTCTTATTAGTTTCTCTAAGGTTGATGCATGTGAACCAAATGGCTTTCACTTTCCGCCTGACCTTTTGGTGACAGTGAAATATACACATCAAGTAGTCTCCCAGACCATTAAACCCTTGGTGTTTCCTCTCATCAGCCACTCTGCTAAACTGCGTAAAACTACAACCATAATGAACGTGTAACTGCTTGCACTGCTGAAGCATTTCTAAGTTTTTAATTCTCTTACCCAACAGACTGACATAGCAAAACAAGTGACTGTATCAGATCTGCAATCTGTCATCCTACCTTTGCAGGGAAGCGGCCCAGCTGTATCTCAGCGCTTCATCGTGATTGAACCACACATGAGGCTGATGCGGCCCCAGCTAGTTCCTCGTGAGTCTCACTGTTTCTAAAGTACATCTGTATACATAGAGCACAGCATGCAGATGCAGAAGTGTAACTGCTGACATTTATTTAATCACATTTGTTCATTTATAAATATATTTATTTAGATGTAAGAAGGTCAAACTGGAATTTTATGTTGAAAGCATTTGTTGTAAACCACATATTTGCATCCTGGAAGTAGTGGGTAACTGCTAAAGCTTGACAAAGAGCAGCATGAAAGAAAAGCATACTGAAGAGAGCAGAGAGCTCTACTGATTTTTGTAAGCAAAACTTGGGCATGTAGCCCATGAGTTTTAATGGTGAGCTTGAGCTGCCAATAAACTGCACGGATACAAAGCTGTGGTGGGCTTTGTATCCGTGGATGCTTTGAAGGAGTTACAAGACATCACAGGCATTTCTGTATCATTCAGGTTTTGTAAGAAGTGGTTTTATTTACAGTGTTATAAGATTTCACCTGATTTCTCTTTTTATTATTTGAATCCTACATGAATTTATCTAATTTTGTTTTAAAGTTTTTATTTTTATGTGATTAGAGGATATGAACTTTCTAGACGTTTAGTAATACATGTGCTAAAAGTCTTCCGGAGTAGTTTTCATTTCCAATCTGAGACTGCAGTAGACTGGCACATCTGTCTTGTCCTGTTTCTTTTAAATACAAGAGCGCCATCTACTGGCTTGAAATTAGTGATGGAAAAAATCATTAATGTGGTATTGCAGTATCATGTTTTGTCAAACTGTCCTGTCTTGACAATTTCCCTTACAAGCTGTTTTTGTTTAGAACTGTATTCTCTCTCGTCTTGTTTTCAGTTCCTGGTTTGAGTACCTTTCCTCAGCAACAGCATCCTCACCTCTCCTGTCCATCCAGAAGAGAAGGCCTGGTTGCTTTGGGTTCCCACCGACCTGTGGAACGAGCACATTCAGAGCCACTTCCTTACAGCCACTCAGTCTTGCCCCTGCATGCAGCCCATTACTCACACACCCACCAGCAACTCGCCCAGATATACCACAAGGCTGGATTAGAGCGGTATAAGCTTGCTACACATCTGAGCAAGGTGAGAATGGGAAGGCGGAAGCATTAGCGTGCTTCATTCAGCCATCAGATAAAAAAACAAACAAAGTAGTTTTGAAAACGATTTCTGTCCCTTGAGCTTGTCTTTTATTTCACACTTTCTCAAGTTCACTGTATTTTTTTTTTTCATTTAAGTCTAAACATTCTGGCATGATATGCATTCGATCCCCTTTATTTTGATACCCTGAAAATATAATTCAGCTTAAACAATGCCCCCATAATTCACCATATTAATTCAATTTATTTAATTACATATAAGGATCTAAATCAAATTCAGAATGCAAATCTTATCTTGCATCTTTAGTGTTTGAAGAAAGATAAAATAATGAACAATCAGCTTAATGTGTTGGAATGCATCAGTCTAAGTCTAGGCTTTATTCATTCAATGAATCAGAAAAAAAATATTTTTAATAGATGCTTTCAATCCAGTGTGGCTGAGGTTAAAGGACAGGCAACAAGTTAGGTTTGCACACCTTAAAGTATTCATTTACTTGTTATAAGCTACTTTGTGGAGTCTATAAAATAAAATACCTTTACGATGTAACATAAAAAATGTAAAGAAAAATGGGGAGCAATGGGAATTATTTGGGAACTAAAAAAGTTAATTTATTTCCAGGAGGCTAAGTGTGATTTTTAGCTATATATCACGTATTGTATTCTCAGAAATATATGACATTATTCTTTTTTTTTTCAGATTGATATTTTATTGACATTTTTTTTATCCATTTTAAAGAGAAATTTTGAGGGTTAAAGATTGTAAAAGTTGTGTTTCGAATTAGCTAAATGTCACACTCATAGAGAAATGCCGTCTGACACAGATTCCTTCTGAGGACATGGACCCAGAGGAGACCGGATCAGCATCAGGTTCTGGGACAGGGTCTCTGTGCGGCTCTGAAATGGGATCACTGTGTGAAGATGGCCACCGCAGGAGAGAAAGCTCCGCCAGCACAGACTCCGTATATGAGACAGAGTCCATCACGTCCTCTAGGGACAGCTTGAATGAGACATCACATTCTATCAGTCAGGTATGTATGGCAGCTCATGTGAAAAAAAAAAATACACACATTTAAAATGAGTTGTTGCTTTTTTTTTTTTTCTAATGATGCGGGGAAATTAGGTAAAAGGTTCTGTTAATGTACATTTTTCACTTAAACAATTTATCATGTCGTCCAAGCCTAAAATGTCCTTCCCTTCAAAAGGAATAAGAAGCCTTAAAATGTTTGACCAATAGGGGGCACTGTTGCTTTAACAATGCAAGCAGCGATACACTTTTCCTCATCAGGTTCTGTTGTTAAAATGAAATTGACCATATTATGATTCATTTCACCAGCTGGAGGTATCGGGGTGTTTTATTTAGTTTGCTCAATGTGTTTTTGCCATGTCCCGCTGATATTAATGGTGTATCCCTTCCTCATCTTTTCCTGAAACACTTTTCTGCAAAAATCAGAGGCAGGTAATCCTCAGACCAGCTTTCCAGCCAGATGCACTGGGAGTTCCTACCATACTGTGGCCTCACCAGTCTCACCCGCCTGTGATCCGGAGCCGTTCTCTACCACCCTCCACCTCACTGACTCCTACCTTACATGCAGCCGCCGTCATACCGTCTCTGTCACTGTCCAGCCCTGCCACAGAAGCCAAGCTACGTTTTACAACAGGTGAGTCAAAAGCTGATTCAGGTATGGTTTTTATTCAAGTATTTTAAAGGACTGGAGCGTGATTAATGATGTTGGTTCATAAAGCAGGTTTTTTTGTGTGTGCCTATCCAGGTTTGGTTTATGATGTTCAGATGCAGAAACATCAGTGTATTTGTGGAGATAACAGCTGCCACCCCGAGCATGCTGGGAGGATCCAGAGCATCTGGTCCAGACTGCAAGAGAGAGGGCTTAAGAGCCAGTGTGAGGTAGGAGCTTTGCCCATTGGTATAATGTAAGAAGAGGAAATAGCTGCCTGTTTTGTGTATTTATAAAACCTCTATTTCTGTGTTGAAGACCATCCCCAGCAGAAAAGCCACCCGTGCAGAGCTTCTATCCATCCATTCAGAAAACCATTTGTTAATATTGGGCAACAACAGGATAAATGGTAAGATCATTTTATTTTTCACTGTGCAGTGCAAAAGTGGCATATTTTGAGTTTGTTCCCATTTTTTTCCATTACACCCACAAACTTAAATGTAAGGTAAATATTGCGTATATATGGCAAAGTACTGCTTGATTATGAAGCAGAATATTATGGTATCTTTCGATTAGCTTTGATCATCAAAAGATATACATTTATGGTTATTTATTCTAGCTAGAAAAGCTGGAGCTCAGTCAGATTGAATGGAAAGTGTCTCTGAATCTTATTTTTAAAGCTTTTAGTGTGGGCTTTGACTGGACCATTCCAACACATGAATATGAAGGATCTGGCTTTTGCTGCATGTACAGTTGTTCTGCTAGAAGGTGAACTTCCAGCCCTTTCCCACTGGCCGAAAAACCCGTTTACACCCGGGAACAATCAAGTTGTAATAGCAGTGGGAAAAACTCACTCAGATGACTTGGCATGGTTAAAATCACCTCGGCTCTTCAGCATGCTGTGGGAACCCCAGACCCAGGTCGACCTGCCAATTGATGTGATACCATTCAGCACAGTGTAGGGATGTCGACACAGCACACCAGTCTCTTCTGATCTAACAAGCTGAAACAACTCTGTTTGTATTTGATAAACATGGAGCAGCTCTGATGAGAGATGAGAGAGATTTGGACAGAATAGGAGCTAAACAATAAAGCTCACTTTCTACATCCTGGCTTCCTTCCATGTTGCTATCCATTGTTTACTTTCCTGATTTTTATAGCACTGGTGATGGGGCGTGCTTTGGTGGTGCAGTGGTTAGCGCACACGACCCACATACGGAGGCCTTAGTCCTCAAACACCCGGATTTGAATCCGGCCTGTGGTCCTTTCCCGCATATCTCTCTCATACCCACTTTCCTGTCAGCCTTCTGTCCATAAAAAAACAAGCAACTAGTGCCGTAAAAAAAAAAAAGTCACATATAGCAATGGTGACTTCATCAACGCTAACCCTGCATGATGGTGTCTAAGGACATGCTTCAATGGAGGGACAGAGGCTACCCAGCTGGGGGAGCTAAATGCTGATTGTTACGGGGTCGACTCGGTTTGAAAAACCCGGGTTAACCCGCTGTTTTAGGTGGGAAAGAGGCGTCTCACAAGTTTCGTTCTTAGTGCTGCTGTCCTTCTAGTCAAACTTTGATCAACACTCCTTGTTTCAGTAGGTCAGCTCAGCATGAGGCTACCACTACTATATTTCACAGCTGTGGATCTCTAATGATCTCAGTTAGAATGAGCATCAGCATCCTGCAGCTTCTCTGAACACTTTTCCTCTTTGGTCTCAGTGCAATTAAACATCCGTGTCTTGTTGCTTCAAGCTGAGGGATTTTCTCATTTGTTAAATTTGTTGTGTCAATTATTCAAAGCTTGGAATATTGTTTTATACCCTAAACATGCTTTAAACTTCTCTAGAGCTGTATCCGAGACCTGTCTGCAATGTTCCTTTGTCTTCATGAGGTTTTTTAAGGAACCCTGTCAAAATCAGTTTCAATTTGTTTTTATCTTTTCAACCCACCTCACAATAATGCGGCACTATCCCCCCAAAAAGAATCATTGATGTTTGTGATCGGTTCATAACGATCTGTTCATAACGACTAAATGTTATTTATTTCTCCGCAGGACCACCGCTTTTTGTGATCTTACCATGTGGTGGGATAGGAGTGAGTCCTGCAAACACACACCAATACAAAGACACACAAATCACTGATCTGATTTAAAACTCCAGTCATGTGGGAATATTTCCACTTATCTAATTGCATTACTGAACAGCAAACATTACATGGCTTATTATGCCTCATTACACAATCTAGGTAATGATACTACCAATTGCTCATGCTATTGTTTTTGGCTGAGATAACCTTAAAACTTCAAAAATCCAAGTTTCCACAATGGTCAGAGAGAGAATAAAAAAACATAAGAAAATGTACAAGTAAGGTGCTGAAAATATGTTGTTTTTTGGAGGGGGACAAAGGAAGTGGATGGAGAAGAAATACAATGATGCTATGCTCAAAGCAAATATCTGAAGGGGGAGGGGTGGCAGTTGATAAGAGCACCGATGTGCCTGGATTTCCGGTCTTTAGCTGCTGGAGTGAAGAGAGGTGATTGGAACAAGATGGCCAACCTCGTAAAAAAAAGAAATTCCTATGATTTCAGTGTTTCCAGAGCAGCTTAGCAGACCGCCAGCAGAGATTGGTTAGAAAGTTTGGGATACCATAGATACACAGAATAATACGCAACAAAAACATTTCTTTATTATTAAAATAATCTTATCATTAAATCTTCTAAATGTGAACAACACTTTTGTTAGACAGCTATTTAAGTTGCTATTTTTATGAGATATGATTAAAAGTAAAGAGATTTTTTTCTATGACCAAAAAACTTGATCTAATTAAAAAGCTTTTGATCAGTTGCTTCTTATCAATTGATCTGCTCAGTTTATCATGTAGAAAAGGCTTCAAAATCACAGGAAGGAGGAAGTTCTTTGATGTTTTTGAATACAAATGGGTATAAAATCTGATATATGATGCATGTTTTCCATTGTTTTTCCAACAGGTTGACATTGATACAGTTTGGAATGAGCAGCACACAGCAGCTGCTTCTCAAACAGCTGCAGGGTGCATCATAGACCTGGCCCTGAAGGTGGCACAGGGAGAGCTAAAGGTAGGCCTCCATATATGCTTAGCTTCAGGCAGGAGTTGATAATAATGAGGAAGAAGCTGTATCTAAAAAAAACACCAAAAAAAAAAAAACTGAATGCATTTTGCCAAAACCCCAATAAACCTTTGTTAGAAGCCTGTGGAAGATGTCTAAGATGTTTACGATCTTGAAACTTATTAGGTAGAACTAAGTTTTTGAAAGATTTTTTTTAAGCTACTGGCCTTTATTGATTAATAATTTGAAAAAAAAAAAAAAGAGCAAACCTCTGCATACTGAGACACCCAATGCATATTTAAGGAAAAATTTAACATTTTGGCCAATTTAAATATTTTTGATTATCCTATCAGTATTATTAGATCGATATAGATATCTCTACTTTTTGAATTAGTTTTTAGAGGAGTTGCACTTCAGTCAGAAGTTGATTTTCACCTCTGAGTTTATCATCCATCATTTAAATAGATCTAAAAAGCCAAAGTTTTGCATTTCTTTATGTAGTAATTAGTTGTTTCAACAATTTGCGCTGAGTTTGTTTTCCAGTTTGCAGTATTTTCTTATCTTATTCAACCAGAGAGCCTTTTTACCTCCGTATGTTTGCTGTCTGCCCTTCATGGCTCAGTCTAAAGAGGATTTTCACTTCTAAGTTTATCATCCATCATTTAAATAGATCTAAAAAGCCAAAGTTTAGAATTTCTTTATGTAGTAATAAGTTGTTTCAACAAGTTGGTTTGTTTTCCAATATCTCTCAGAATGGTTTTGCGGTGGTGAGGCCCCCTGGACATCATGCTACTCGTTCCTCACCGCTGTAAGTACAGGAGCATAAACACACATACACACAAACAAGGCTAAGGGGGGCTGCAGAGAGTCTTTTATAAATCAGCAACATTATACCTCTGAAGGAGAAAAGGAGAGAGCGGGGCCCCGGTCTGTGTTAATGTATGCGTGGTGTGCGTACTACCTGCCTGATGCCCGGAGCGATTTCCCTCCTCCACTTTTTCTTTAACGCTTCCAAGACACAAAGCAACACACCTCAAAGGAAGACATGTAACCGCCATGTGTCCATGCACCCTGCACATGTGCTGTGTGTGGATATGTGTGGATGTGCATATTTGTGTGCATTGATTTGTGTCACTCTTTGATAGCAGGCATTAGCCAAATAACCACATTCAGCTGGGCCTGACTGTGTGAGCTCAGCAGTGCTTGTCACTAGTTATTTATGGCGTGGTAATGACTTTCTTGATGAGCTTAGTTTGGACTGCCTATAATGTACATTGTTCATACTCATACTCACACACACACATACATACATTTAGGCAGTCACAGTTTACAGCCCAATGCTGACACTGCCTTTTCTAACATTCCTCCATTGTTTTCCACGCATCAACACTTTCTTTGCATACCTTTGTTGGAGACAGCCAGTGTTAGTGAGTGGTCTGAGTTCATTTCTCCGAAATCATCCCTCACATCCCGCCAGATTTCTGACAGCATTATCATTTCAAAAGCGTATTAAATTTCTTGATAGGCTTCGCTTTCAGTTTGTCATAAAACATGTGGCCTCTGCAATTCTCAGCAGTGAAAAATGTAGACTTGGCATAATATTTTAATTAAATAAGCTATTTTTGATTTGTCAGCTGAGAAAAAGCAGATATAGAACAAGCTAAAACAAACTTGTTTCCCAAATAATGTGAGATATAAGTTAACGCGGCAGGAGCAAACGCTGCAGCTGTCATGGCCTCAAGAAGCACCTCACCAAGCCAAAGAACTGTCGTACCGGTTCTTTCGGACCGTATGGGGATGTTGTGAAATTAATTTGTTGACGATGCAACGATAAACACATGTGGCTGCCACTCTTCCTGCTTGTTTGTCCACAGGGGCTTCTGCTACTTCAACTCCGTGGCCATCGCAGCCAAGCAGCTTCAAAACAAACTCAACGTCAGCAAGATCCTCATCGTAGACTGGGTAAGCACCAAAAGAGCCGCCGCTATCACCCTTCTCTTCGTGGGCACAATAAAAAAAAAAGTTTCCTGGATGCAAAAAAAACCCAGACCAACAGTAGCACTCCTAATCATAATTTAGATCATTAAGAAAGTGATTTCTGTCATCCTTGTGGGAGCCTAACTGTCACATGTGCTTAGCCTGAACTCCAAATCACACACAGACACATTAAAGTTCACAGAGCCATACATATGCCTGTATTGAATCGCAGCCAGCCGGTGTCTCTGGTCAACATGTGTGTACTTGAATCTATACAGTATCTTTACTGAGGCCATACTCTCCAGTATAATTTTAAATGAAAGTAGTTATTAAGATCTTAAAGAAGGTAAAAGAGAATAAACACATTTTTCATTGATGTGAAAAGTTAATCAAGTGTTACAAACTGTATTCACTCCTTTCAGGTTACTTTTACAATCCGAATTAGTTTTTATAATGTTTTATTTACTTCCATCTAATAATGACTCCATCTTACTGTCCAGGATGTGCACCATGGCAACGGCACCCAAGAGGTCTTCTATGATGACCCAAGCGTTTTGTATATCTCTCTGCATCGCTATGATGACGGGAACTTCTTTCCTGGTAGCGGGAGTCCAAATGAGGTACTTGCAAAGCATTTGCATATTTGTTTTATTTTATCTCTCCAGATTGTTTGTGATTTTGGTTCAACAGGATTTATCAGTGAAACCTGACCTGTGCCAAAAAGTATCATTACCTTCAGCACTTTTTCTATATTTTATGAAGATTTTATCTGGTAGATCACTTGTATTATCGACAAAAACAATGAAAAATCTTTTTCAAAACATGGTTAAAAAAATCCAAAACATGACTTGCATTTGGAATCTGCTCCCCAACCAGCTTGAGTTAATGCTTTGTAAAACCACCATTCATTAAAATTACTAGGGTCTTTTGGGGCATGTGTTTGACATATTTACACACCCAGTTTTATATTCTAGTAAATAACTTAAAGAATATCTTTAAATTGCTCTTTTCCTACTGGAAGATTAGTCTCTTCCCTGAGGTATTTTGCAGTCTCTAAAAGGTTTCTTTGTCTCTGCTGTACCCCTAGCATGATGCTGCCACTTCTCAAAGAGAACTCAACCAAAGTTTCTTTCTAAAATGTATTTGCAATGCAGCTCATTCAGATATATCTTCTAAGAAACATCAGATATTCACAAAACAGCTGTAAAATGCTGAGGAAAAAAATTTCCCAATTAGGCACGTACTGGAAATAGCCAATTGCACTGGATTTCTTGCTGAGGGATAACAGGGCAAAAAGGACTGTAGAAAATCCATAATGATTTTTCATGTTTTTATGTATTTTTTTATTCTTTCTACTTGACATTTACGCACTTTGTTTTCATCCATCACATAAAACCAGTGCTAGTGATGCGGCTTGAAAATATTCAAGCGCTGTAAGTACTTTTATTTTTTATTTTGTATATGCTTGACTTCAGTTAGACTTAAGTTACAGTTGTACTTATCAAGGACAATAAAGCTGCAATACTTAAAGGGGAAACCTGTTTCTTTTACACTGGCCCCTTGATTTTACATTATTACATCATGTTGTACTCACTCATATTAGTTTTGTGTCATTTGGAGCTGTTCCGAAGATATTCGGTTTTGTAATCCAGTTGAAGGCACAAACTAAACTGTTCATAATTTATTCTTTATGGTACCCCAGCATTCATAACATGTAGGCGAATCACTGTCCCCCAGACATCCACGGTTATATTTTTTATATTTATATTTTTTTAAAACAAAGCGGAGTGTGTATGACTTCATCCGCCCGCCGGACTGCATTTGTGACAGGCAGCCCAGCCCACAGGTGGCTACGCTCTACCCCTTCTATTCATTCGGTAGCTAATCTGAATCGTTCAATTCCATTTGGAGAGCGAGATCATCTGTGGTAGTAGTACTAGACATCTTCCAGGCATGTGAGTAAAACTAGCAGCAGTTCAAAGGACAGGAAGAATGAACGCTAGCCGGCGTGTGCGGATGACGTCATATATGCGGCGCTTTATGTTTAAAAGATATAAATATAAAAATTATAAACACGGATGTCTGGGGGAAAGGGATTCGCCTACATGTTATGAATGCTGGCGTACCATAAAGAATACATTATGAACAGTTTAGTTTGTGCCTTCAAGTCGTTTGCCCATAGGAAGACGTTACTTGGATAACAAAACCGAATATCTTCGGAAAAAAGAACAAATGACACAAAACTAATATGGGTGAGTAGAACATGATGTAATAACGTAAAATCAAGGGGCTAATGTGAAAAAAAAAAGTGTTTCCCCTGAAAGGAAGTTAAAGTAAAAACCTAATTAATGACTGGTTTTAGTTAGTGCCTCACCAAACATGCCAAACTTTAATGGATGACTCCTCAATCAGTTTTGGACTAAATTTGTTTATATTTAGAGGCAGGGTTTTATCTCTTAACAAGTGGTTGTCATTTTGGATGGTCCCTTTTCAAACATCTGTTCCTGTCATAGCCCTTCAGTGTGAATATTTTAAAACCAAGCTTAAAGTATGGTAGTGTTCTTTTGCCCACTGCATGTAATGCATCACCTTTGTTTGTGTGACAACTTAGTTAAGACAAAATCCTAAGGCATGTTAATCAAGAGAACGTGCCTTGAAGATGTTTTATTGTATATTTCGGTAACTGCTGCACATTTGTTTACTTTCATACTTCTAGTTGTAAAGTTTTAAGGACTTAAAGGTCAGCCCCTCTCAGCAGGATGTATGGAAATGAATTGTATGTCTGTTTGATGCAAGAAATCGAGACGCTTATGATTTCTTCCTGTGGTCTTACCCAAAAAACCAAGTGTAATGATAATCCCAGTCAGCTGAATTGACCTGATCCCATGCTGACATTCACTCTGCCATCCTCCCCCACAATAATACTCAGTGTTTTCCCATAAAATCTCCCGAGGAGCGGCACATAAAAATGCTTTGTTGGCTTGGATGTGGCTTTGCCTGAGGTGGACTCTCAACCTCTGTTGAGCAGTGTGGTAAACCTCTGGAGTCTATCTGTCCCCCGTGTAGGTATATATCTCACCATGGGGTAGGGGTGTGATGTCATCGTCATAACAGAGAGCACAGAATAGCTCCTCGAAAAAAAAGAAACAGTTAAGGTCTAATTCGGTCCAGTGAGTCCTGGAAGATGAAAGGGAGACAGAAGACAAAGAAGAGTGCAAGGCACTTGGAGCTTTGGCAGAAAATGGTATGTTTGGTTTACGTGAGTGTGCTTGTGTATCCGAATTGTGTGCACAAGCGCATGCATGCGGGTACATTAACAGTTGGCAGAGGCCAGGAGGCTTCATGTGTTTTTGGTTTGCCCTGCGAACATCCCGTCCACTGAGAGAAGAACGGAGACAGACGCTCATCAGCATTCTTTCAGTTTCAAGCATCCTCTCACACCCATAATCTCACTCGCTTTCTCACACACACACACACACACACACACACACACACACAAAGGAAATTACCACACATTATTGCCAAGAGGGTGTCAATCAACCTCCTCCATTTCTCCTCAAACTGACACATTGACTGATGGTGAAGGGTTTTGGGAACAGCTAAATGGCTTCTAGAAGGACTACAAAGAGAGAGAGAGACAGGAATCTGTAACTTCTTTCCAAGATCCAGGCCTGCGTTGACTTTCTGCCCTCAGTATGCGAGGTCAACCTGAGAAAAACTCCATCTACTCCGCCTGGCATTTTACATCCGTCGCATTTAAAACATGAAAGACTCATTGTGTTAAAAAGGATTACATTTTTACCTTAATATTTGCAGTTTTTAACCTTTTAGTTCAGGAAGATGGTTTAAAGTTTATTTTCACCCATTTGAATATATATATATATATATATATTTTCTTCTTGTTGATCAGTCAATAGTTAGTTCACTTAAAACTAAAGCTTGGGAACTATAAACGCTGTAGCTCTGTTCTGGCTCAGTGATTTATAAAGGTCTATTGACAAATTGTATAGAAATCAGGATAGAGGGACGGGGGTGTTGAATTAACAGCCATCCGTATTCGATTTAGGAATCATAATCACTCCCTGGTGTTGCCTTAAAGAGATGCAGCGCCTTCCCCGCTGTTGCTACAATACAAAGTTTTGCAACAGCAATGTTGATTTTTGCAAACGTTTTGACACAAATCTGTCATCGTCATGGAATTTCTCAAGTTTCACTAAGAGTTGTTTGTTTTTCTTAAATTTCTTAGTTTTTTTTTCTTCTCTCTCTCTCACTGATTTTTTTCTGCTTTGATTTGATGCAGGTCGGTGTAGGTACAGGGAAGGGCTTCAATGTCAATGTGGGATGGAATGGTGGTCTGGACCCCCCAATGGGTGATGCAGAATACCTAGCTGCATTCAGGTACATATATACATTTTTTTTCTGCTTGCCGTTGATTGCTTTCTCCTTTATGGTCTAGTAAAATAAAAAACATACAATAAAGGAAATCATTTTTTCCCATCTTGTATGTATCTGATATTTTACTCAGTTATGTGTTTTCACAACTGAACACATAAATAAGTAGATAGGATTGAAAAATAAGTGATTAAACTCTTGAGGAAATTCAGGAAAAACTTTATTCATTAAATGAAAGGTATAATGACTTCTATTATATCAATTACAAGCTAAAGCTCTTAAATAAATCATAAAACTTTAACGACCTGGTTTATAATAATTGTTTTATATGTAAAGCTTTTTTATTTATAATTCAGTCTATTCTAATATTTGATGTCCCTGGAATCTCTCTTCATGCATCCTCCTTATCTCTTTCAGCTTTTATTGGGTTCAAACAGGACCATTTTGTTTGAGAAACGGCGACTCTTAAAGGACGATATAAAAGCCAGGTTTAACCGTTTGATGAGGTCAAAACAACAAATTCAATTGAGTGCTTGTATATATCTATTTTTAACCTTTTTCTTTACATATTTCCAAAAAAAATTCTTCATTGGAATGTTTAATTTATTGGTTTGTTGGTTTGTTTTTCTGTGAAAGCTTAACTTAAAAATGTAAATAAAGCTCAGTTTTATTAGTGAAATTCAATTAAGTGTGTGAAGGAGTATAGATGAAAATGATACTAAATACTTAAACAATGTTACATCTCTACCCATGTTTAAAAACAGAGAAATAAAAATCTCTTACGTTTTCACCAATTTAAAAGCTATAAAGAACATAACACACAGTTATCTAGTTGCTCAAATGAGCCCCTTTATTACAAATCAATAAAAATCAATATGGATCACGTAGATTCTCAGTAAATATATAGATGCTTTCTGAAAGCCTCAAAGGTTTGTTGGAGAATATTAATGAACACAGAGCATCATAAAGACCAAATAATCACAAACTTATAGAGAGATTTAAAATGCTACTTGGTTATAAAAAAAAATCTCAAGCTTTAAAAATTGCTCATGTCAGAGTAAAAATTATCACCTGAAAATGTCAATACGCAAACATCAGGGATTCTGTATACAGGAAACACTCTGAAGAAGATGCAGAGTGTTGGCCTAGTGGGTTAGAGCACCTGCTAATGCTCTGAGCAGGTTGCAAATACCTGGTCTGGTCCCTGCAGCCTCCACTCTGGGTTCCTGACCAAAACCCTTAAACCCTGATTGCCCAATGCTCCCCAAGAGGATGGGTCAAAATGGGATCTGCTTAAATTTAGCTTATTAACATACATGAAAAAGATGATGTGTGGTGGAAACCCAATTCTCCACCATGAAACATGTTGGTGGAAGTGCCATGGTAAATACTGGATGGAGCTATATATAGTGATTGATTATTTTGTATATATATATATTTTCATATTTTTCTCTTTTTATTATTGTTCTTGTTTTTGTCTGTTTATGGACCATAATTGTGTCTAAATAAAGAAATTGATTGATTGATGTAGGGCAATCCTGAAAGAAAACTCTTTTATGAAGCTCAAAAAGCATTAAAACTGGAGTGACAATTCACCTTCCAGACTAGAACATACAGCCAGATCATACAGACATTAAGGCATTCATAAGCTGTAAAAAAAAAAAAACCACTGAATTTTCTATATCAATTCCAATGGAAGCCGTTCAGCATAGCTGGGAAATGCCTATTTAGAAACGCTGTAACCCTCAGTCTGAATGACGCTCCTTTCAGATTTTGATTTGTGCAAAAATCACGTTTACACATTTCTTTTTGAAAAGAATGCATGGAGCAGTGTTCATTCTTTCTTCTACTTCACAATTTTTATTTTTTTATTTACATAAATGTCATGTAAGCTGCATCAAAGTTTGTTGGTAGTGACAACATTTTGAAAATACTCCTTGGAGTTTGAATACTTTTAATGAAAACTACATGTAGTTTTTGGTATTTGTTTGGTGTGTTGAGTTTAAGTTCTTGTTACAAGAGCTTATTTATAATGGAAATGGGTTATAGATGCAAACCCCTCCCTCTTTAGGGTGGTGGTCCTGAAACCCATAACATTGAACATTTATTTCATGTATTCTGCCTAAAATTAAACTTTTTGTTAGTACTCAAAAACAATGGAGAATCTGTTTAAACCTGTTGGATTTGATCTAGTTTTTCCCTGCTGTGGAAGTGAAGCCAATACAGGCAAAAATGGGTTATGGATAAGTTAAATGCTAAACGTTACAACTAGGTGCTACCCAAGCACACCTTTTCTCCAAACAAATTCTTAACTTCATTCAAGTCTTTAGTCCCAAATGGATGCGGTTTGGTGGTACGCTGCGCTGTAATGAACACAGAATGCATCTGTCAGCAGCTCTGGCTCGCCACCAGATGAATAAAACGCTATGTGAGCTCTTCATGGTGCTCGCTTCAGACGCAGTGGGTGGGCCCCTCATCGCAGGAAAGATGCTAACGAGCTAACCCATACTGGTAAAATCCCATCGGCTCAATAGGATGTCTTGAAAACACTATGCCCAGTGTTAACTGGAGTTCTGGGTCCCGATTAAGAAGCAACCGGTCCTTTTCCTGGGCAGGCGTCTGGCTTTAGTATTTTTCATCCCATTTAGGAAATTGCAAGTGCTTTCATGTGTAAAACTTCCTCAGTTAACCACAGCATAGTTCTGTACTGCATTGTGCTTTCACCATGAAACTTACATCATGCAAAGCCTGTCTAAAGGGTCCTGGTGTTCCAGGACCTTTGTCACATAATATTCTGGGTTCAAGCAGGTTTTTTAATATTACTTAAATCAACCCCGATGTCAGAAAAAAGTCGACTGTCACCTAAGAGTGTTATTAATGCTGAGTAGTATGATGTAGGGTTAAAAAGGAAAGGATGCATCATGATTTGACCTTAATGCAGTTAAGCCTCTTTAATCATGTGCCAGTTCTGTGGCTCCATATGATCATTTAGATGACAGGGTGTTTTAGACTGTGTCTGTCTCTTTTAGATGGAAAAAAAAAAAACTTTGCTGTTGATGTGCGTCTGTTTTGGGGTGTGTTTAGTGCAAGAAATACTGTGGTTGGGACTCCTTTGCAATCAGCAGAGAGCTCATCATCACTGAAACCATGACGTTACACGTTATTAAAAATGGTCAGAATCTACGGGAAGGTGCGTCCAATCGCAGGTAGCACAGGCAACTTTTATTTGCAACTGGTAACTGACAAACAATGAGCTTATGGAGGGAAGGAGAACACAGCTGAAGAGAGGAGAAGAAGCAGGGGGTGCATTGTTAGGGAATCCAAAGGCGGCGTAATTAGGCCCAATGGATCCCAGATGGCTGGCTGTCAGTGACGTGAGAAGAGGGACGAGCTCCTAATAGGAACCAGACGCACACAAATGCCTTTGAACTGCCGCTGAGAGAAAAAGAGCGAATAAGAAGGAATCAAACGCGGCATGGGCCATTCGCTCTTGCTAAATAACTGGCAGTGGGAGAAGAGAAGAAGGAAGAGGGAGAATATGAAGCCTCGAAAATGCCATCAGCTCAGTAGAGTGCACAATATCTCAGAAAGACGCAGAGCATTTGTCACTAATGTTTGACACCTGTCTAAAGTCAGATCTTTGTTTTTCTGGCTCCATAATATCATCACAGCTCTGCTCAGCATTGGAACAGTTGCACACTTTCACACCTGGGAGGCGCTCCACCTCTTAGACTTGGCTGTCTTCCAGCAGTTGATCACAAACTGAGATCAAGCACTTGAAGCTTTGCCTTTGATAATTTTTCTTTTCATCATCTTGGAATGGAAGAGTGTGTTCTGTTCTGTGAATTCATGCAGTTAACAGTCCAGAAAAGTCCTTCACTGAAAGGATGTTATTGGAAATTATTCACTTCTACCATCCTATGTTTTTATTTTTGCAGTTCTGGCATCTGAGATCTTGTTTGGGTTTTTTTTCCCGCTCTGAAATGATTCCAGTCACATCAAGACATCTCCATTATACACATCGTTATATTTTATTTACTCCTAATAGCTCTGCTGAGCACCTGTTGAAACGGTGAACATGAGCTCAGATTTCCCTCAGAATCAGAGCTGTCTAACATGCAGAGTTTGGTTAACAGCCCTCTGTTTGTCCTCAGGGCTGTGGTGATGCCCATCGGCCACGAGTTTTCCCCTGATGTGGTCCTGGTCTCCGCTGGCTTCGATGCTGTCCAGGGGCACCCATCCTCATTGGGAGGTTACACGGTCACAGCCAAGCGTAAGGAGCAGCCAGACTCTTACTCACAAGCAGCTAACATTCTGATTCCCATCTGTAGATAAGTCTGAGGTTATGTAAACATTTTAATCCAACCATCTCATCAATCCCTTCTGACACACATCTATTATGTTGACATAATCATGACATGAGAACTAAAATCATCAGCTTTCCCAAAATGTGAAGCTTTTATGTCATTTTTTAACCAATCGGTGTTTCTCTTTTTGATCTTCACCAGTTTTTGGATTTTTGACACGTCAGCTGATGTCACTGGCGGGGGGCAGGGTCGTCCTCGCTCTAGAGGGGGGCCACAACCTCAAAGCCATCTGCGATGCTTCTGAAGCCTGTGTCAGTGCCTTGCTCGGCATGGAGGTAAGATGTGTCATCTCTCATTCCCTGGATGAGCACAGCGTGTCCCGTCATCAGATCGCTAACTGTGTGCTGTGTCTCAGGTGGAGCCTCTTTCCCAGTCACTCTTGGATCAAAAGCCCTGTGAGAACGCAGTGCGCTCTCTGCAGAGAATCGTGCAGATTCAGGGTGAGGAAACATCAGGTTTACTGCAAAGAATTAACATTTCTATAGAAAAACAGTCAACTAAAGCAAAACATATTCTACTTTAATTTAATAACATGAATTTGGACATCTCTTAAAGCACAATTAAAAAGCATCAGGTTTATTGCAAAGAATAACATTTCTATAGAAAAACCGTCAACTACTTTAATTTAGTAACATTAATTTGGACATCTCTTAAAGCTCAATTTAATCCTTTATTCAATAAAGATGAATGTCTAAGACAAAAAGAATCTCCCAACTAATATTTGCTGCTCACAGATTCTCTTCTAATACAATATTAAAAAGAAGTATCATTAAAACCTTCGCATGAAAATATTCCAGTCTGAAAGAGAAACACCCACCAACAATTTCAGATGTAATTGCAGCAACACATTGATTTCTGGAGGGATGAATATATTTTCTCTCCTCCTTTACAAAGTATTCAAGTCACATATCCTTCATCTTCAGCTGGTTTCTCACACGTGATCCAAACATCACTAAATGGAAGTCTGTGGTCGCAAAGTGACACATTTTAAAAATAAGTTCAGGAATACTTTTATAAGGCCCAGCTGCAGAGTTTGCAGCACTAATTGAGTAAATTCTGTTGTAATGAGTCTGGGGCACACAAACAAAGAAACTCCAAGTCTTGCAGATAATTTGTGCAACAACTGTCACAATAAATAGGAGCTGAAGATAAATTTCTCTCTGTCGGCTGGAAGGGCATTTAAAGGCTCAGATCAACAGATATTTTTCAGAAGAGGATTTATTCTGGCCATATTCTTTGTTGTCTTTGATGATGAATGAGGTTTCTGTTTTTATTATTTGCTAGTAAATCATTAAATATGGACCCTATAAACACCTTATAGAAATGAGGATTTAAGTCACTCTTCATATAGAGGAATAAATCATATCCTATTTTTATGGTTTATTGTTTTCCTGTCTACTTTTGACCCACCAGCGTTCCTTTAGCTCTGTTCTCAATAACCCCCTAAAAAAGTAATTTTTTCACTCTATTTAACACTTTTTGTGCTGTTAGCTTCTGCTCTCTGATCACCTCTCCTCCCTTCCAGCCCTGTCTTCCATCCCTCCAAAAGTCCCACACAACACACACACACACTCGCACACAGCTACCCTGGCTCCAATTATCTTCAAACACTTCTCTGGCACACGACCTTCGCAACATCCCCTCCTGATTGCACACAAATGTTATCCCAACCAAATTAGATTAATTAAAAATATTTGAATAGCCACAGGAATGTTAAGCCCATAATTCAGGCCTGGGGTGAAGTATATGTAGGTTAATGCTGAGCCAGAACACACGCACTTATAGAGGAACAAAGTTACAGTCACTGATATTTTTGTTATCCTGTATTTCCCCCCCATTGTATGACATTGTGTGAGCCCTGAGAGAACAGACTGAATCTAGGTTTACATTTCTGAAATTATCAAAACGGATATTTGGACCAGGGGCTGTTTATTCCGCAGTCTTTGCTTATATTCGCATCAAACATCTACATCTAGTAGATCAAACACCAAGCTGTACTTTCGGGTAGTTCAGGCGCGTCCCCTCAAGGGGCAGTTAGGATGAAAACAGGAACCAATCCAAGGCTAAGGCCATTCATCTTTTTTTTCCTCTCTTGTTTCTTTTCTCTTCATATTTTTTCCTTCCCTCTCAGGTAAGTTCTGGCAGAGCGTGAGGGATTCAGCCGCCACAGTGGATATGTCCTACCTGCAGGCACAGAGACACCGGCTCAGGAGAGACTCAGACAGCGAGGCAGTCACTGCCATCGCCTCTCTGTCAATGGGCTCCCTCACCTCAGAAAGGTACAAAAACACAAAAAAAACATAATCATTATTAGTTTTACGCTTATTATTTAACTGCTGATCTAAATGGGTTAAATATAAGAATTTTTATTTTTCGAAACAGCAGTCAGATAGTTGGATATTTAAGATAAATTTCTTGAAAACACAGAAATTAAATCGTTAAAAGGCTCTGAGAGAGAGCAAAACCTCGAGCAGGTAATAAGAAGGCTGAACAGAGCTTCGGATTGGCAGTTGTATACCGTTGAGCTTTAAACCTCTGTATCTAAAGGGACTTGTTGGATTTGGAAATATCCCAGTTAGGGTAAAGATCTAGTTTTTAAAAAGTACACTACCTGCATGCCACTCCCACTGGCATCAAAGGCCTAAAAAATAGGATGTACCTTGTTTGATCACAAATAAATCAGACTTTTAAACGTCTGCAATGTTGGTTGAACTTAAGAGAATCTCAATGTTATCTCTACATTAAGACCTGGTTACTGTGGAGAGATTCCTGATTTAATTAGTTGCGTATTCTGGGATAGAAATTTGTCCTAAAGCCCTCTGGGCTCAACAGATGTCAACCCATCATTTTGTCCTTGTTTAAAAAAAAATACATAAATCCAGTTTTAGGACACTGTCGTCCTAGCACAGCTTGATGTTTACAAATTCATGAACATTTGTGGCAAAAAGAAAGGAGCAATCGATATTGTAAATTTGGATATTTGGAAGTAAAAATAGGAAAGAAAAACGAAACATTTAACCTGCTAGTTACACCGTTGTATTTGTGTTATTTTTTTTTACATCTATGCTATAATTTACACAGTCATTTTATTGTTTTCTGTAAATGGGCTGCTGTTTGTTTTTTACCCAGAATATTTTTAATGTAATCTGAGTGTTAATAACTGGAAAGTATTTCCTGTATGTGGACTTTCCTGTACTGCACAGTTTATTCTGCCTTTTCTGTTATCGTTCTTTTCAGATTTTTTTTTTGTCTTGTTTGTAACTGTGTGGTTTCCTTTGCATATTTTCTTGCATATTGCCTCTGATACACCTGAATATCCTCACCTATTTATGATATTTCTATGTTACTCAAATTATTCACAAACATGGTTTTGTAATCTATGTGTAACACTTTTTTCTTTTTTTTCTTTTTTCAAGGAAACCGCTTGAAAGAATGTGAAGAAAAAAAGCCTATATATATATATATATATATATACGTATGTGAATGCATCTTGATCATCACTGGAACGTGCAAACCTGCACTACTACTGTCTGCAATGTGACCACTCTGATTCAAACAGAGGAGCAGTGTTGTAGACATTCATGTCCTCAGAAGATCTCTGCAGCCTTTTCCCAAAAAGTGACATCAATGGCTAAACAATAAAAGAAGTTTCAAATATGCCCAAACTCTGAGTAATGAAGACCTGGTGTGACAGGATGTAGCATGAGCAGAGATGAGAAACCGTTTCTGATTGCGTCGAAATCTGCACAGACCACTGAGACTCTTATTTTAAATAAGTCGTGTCGCCGGAGAAGAGGATGACAGGTGAACCACGATCACTTTTCTGCACGTGACATAGATCAAATGAAGGACAAGAAGAAGAAAAAAAGATTGGTTTTAATCTGATCGGTCTCTCTCTGATTGCTCTCCGACTGGACAAGAAGCATGTGAAGCGTGACCACAATCAAGCATTTTTTTTTGTTTGTTCTTCTTTTTACTTCATTAGAATATTCGTTTATTTGACATATGGCACACATTTCTGTGGATGTCAGCATGCATTTTTTTTTTCTTTAAAGAGATCCAGGGTGAAGCTACAGTGGAGTCTGAGATACATATGTTTCATATTGTTTTCTGTGTCCACATATTTTCTGAGATCTTTTCTTTCTTTCTTTCTTGGCCTGTAAGCAGAGCACATGCAGCAGGGGTTTAAAAAGCTGCAGTTAGTGTTATCACCCTCTGACAGATAAAAGAAGACTCATCGTCCTTTTATAAAAGTACATCTTAAATATGCAGACACAGTGCCATACTCGTGGCATTAGTCCCAGTTTAAAGCTAATACCTTAAACAAGCTGGGGCGTCGACATTATTGAAGGCATTCGTGCATTTGAACGAAGCTCCAGTGCCTTTTGAAACTAAAGTTTTACATGCACTGCTTTTAGAGACACATAAACAGTTTTTACTCGTCTTCTAACATTGAATCAACTTCAAAATGTCCTGTTTCAAGTTTTTAAAGTTACTAGAAATTAGCCATATTTTCTCAATATCAGAATAAATACACACATTAAGACTAGGATGCCATTACCTACTTTAGGTAAGCTGGGATGAAGGTGTTCTATTTTTTGATTGGTTAAATCACATAAAAAAAAAATCTGACCTTTTTCCATGTTGTTGCACAGGGCAACATGGAAAATTCAATTATGCTGAAAGCTCATATAGGGAACTGTTGATGTCCACCAGACAGATTCACCCTTGGTTACAATTTCCAGATGCCTGGCAATGCAACTTTCATATATTTAAAAAATATATGCCAGTATAAACTAACATCACTGGGATGTCTAACTGTCAGACTATTCAGGTTTCTGTATCACAGAGATAAACTCCTTTTCTGCTTGTGACAAAGCTGGTTGAAGCTGCTGAAATGTGTTACTTATGAAATGAGTCTTGTGCTTGGAAAGCCTTAAAGGCCATTGAGTGAGAAAGAAGCAACAATGCACACAGGGACAAACATCTGGATTAGTGGAGACATACCCTGTGGTCTGATGGTGGTAAAATTAATGTGCTTGGCTATAACGGCCTCTGTCATTAAAGCCTGGCCACCTGAGAGCAAATTGTACTGTGAAACTCCTGGTAGGAACAGGTGTACCATATGGAAAAGTTATTTCAATAAAATACTAAAACAACTTGTCAAGATATCCTAGAGAAAGGTAAAGCTTTGTCACAAGCATTGTAGCAGAAATAACATCAGTGTTGTTGGAGAAACCAACACAAACCACTGATCTCAAATAGAAAGTTAGAGAGATGCACAAACAGGACCCATTTACTGCAACCCTGTAAGGAGGAATGGGCCAAATTCCCAGCAAACTGCTGTCAGGGGCAATATTTTACCTGTAAGCTTAAAGGGATGTTCCAATACTAAGGCAAAGCACTTAAACTTCTGAGCTCAAAGCAGAAAAAAACAACATAGAGAACAATATTTTTCTTGCATTTTCCAAATACAATAGTTGAAGTAATCCTAATGGACCTCAAACAGGCATAATTTAAATTAGTTTAATGTCTAAAAGTGAGAACGTGTTTGGTCTTTGGACAAACATTATGTAAATATCTTGTATGCAAAAAAAAAAAAGACACATCCAGGGTGTTTTAAATTTGACTTCAAGACTTTCCACACAAAGTGCACTTACACCCCCCCTCAGAGAGTTCAGTTTTGATTTTGTAAATGTTGCAAAGTGGACCAGTGTTTCTTTCCCTGTGGAGAAGCATTCCTGCTGTGTCTTTTTTGGTTATTTTGTATTTTAATGTGGACAATATGATGCGTGTTTTCATCTGTAATTTACTCAGTCTGTATACTGTCAGTATCAGCGTCGACCAAACGAAGACTTTTGTCGGCTAGGATGGAGCAATAATACCCGAGGTAGTTGATCATATAGTCGATGATATGCACACGATTGGACACAGGTTAACCGCAACCAAAGTTTATGAGAAAAATGTGCTCGCCATAGACTGGCATGTCCCAAAGAAAAAAGCACTTCAAAGTCTTCTTGAATGTTTCTTTTCTCTTTCCAAACAGTCCAAAAAAAGCAGATACATAAAAAAAAATCCATTTGACACTACGCGTATTTATGCTTTGAGATTTGAAGATTTCTTTGAAGTGCTCTGTGCGTGTCTAATGCAGTTAAGACGGTGCTAAAAACAGTGTGTTTGTTTCTTTTTCTGTTTAGCTCTTTCCTGTGTGTGACATTGAACATGCAGCTCAGCACCTGTCCAGTACTTGTTGATGTAATGAAAAACGTGTACACCACATGACGGGTCAGAGCGGCCCCGTGTTCAGCATCTTTCTGCTGTTCCGGGGGAATTTTCAGTGGAAAAAACGTGACATGTCTTATGTCTAACAGAATTTTGTCTTAATGAATATGAAGTTTATATTTTGTATTTGATCTCAGAAGTAAAGCCTTAAGACCAAATGATCAACATAGTTATGATGCTGACTAACCTGTGTGAAGGTTGCCTTAATGACGTAGAGCTTAAAGAAAACTGTGGGTCCAGCTTATTGATAACTGTTTGACTTTATTTTTGTACAGTGTAAATAGTGTCTTATGATTTTATTCTCTTTTTCTGCTTTTTTGATGTTTCTATTTTGTTTTCTATCTTTAATAAAAAAAAATAACTTATATACATTTGAATGAATTTGGATGTATTTTTTTGTCTAAACATCTATCTCCCTGGAGGAACTCTGACATTTTTAGTAATTCTGTAACTTATACAGATTTATTACACACAGGAGGCTATATTTCAGGCCATTTACTTCCACTGATTATGATGATTGTAACTAAAAATAAAGGAAACCTAAATCTAATATTCTGTTAGCTTGAATATACCATATGATCAGTAGAAAACTTGTTCTTGTTAAGTTAAAACCTACACAAGCATTGGGAAGGCAGCTGATTTGGCAGTCATCCAGTAGAGAGTCACTGGTGCTGTCTACAAAGAGGCTATGGAAAGTATATTAATGGAAAATTTAGTGGAAGGAAAAAAGTTGGAAGAATTGTGAAGGCAGAGCTCAGTCAAGATTAATGCGGTGTTGAATTAATCTGGATTCAGTGCTTCAAAATCTGCCCTTCACAGTCTTATTAACTACATGGGACAAATTCATTTTACATTAAGTTTCTTAAATAAGCCACTTCTCATACATGGGATATTGTCAAGAGGAATTGGAGACTTATCCAACCAACATACAGACAAGCTGAATGCCACTGATAAAGCGACCTGGGCTTCTTTAACACCTCAGCAGTGCATCAAACAAATCTCCATTTACTGAGAAATTGATATCAGTTGCAAAACCCATTCTGTATATGGACGTGTGTTTCATTACTGTTTAATATGATACAAATTGACATAAAGAAAGGAGCTGAAATAATTCCTTTGACGTTAATTTTCACATTTTGAATTTAACAGATGAGGGGGAAAAAACTTTTTGAAGTAATGTATGAATCTAAAGAAACAGGTTACACAAGGGAAGTACGTATGTACAGCGCTGAGTAAAATTTTATTGTTCACAAAAATGATAAGAAGAACAAAACAAAAAAAAAACGGTACGAAAGCAACATGATCAAAGCATTTGGTCCAACAGTTACAAATGAATCTGCTCTAGTCTGCATGTAATCACATCATCAACACTTTGGCACGATTTCTGACGAATTCTCCTCCGCGATATTATTTCATTAAGCTTCGCAGAGATATTTTAAAGCTGCAGCATTCACCACCGACAGACAAACTACTAATGAAATAAACAGTTTGCTGATCAGTGGCTGGAAACCGAATGAAGCAGTAAGCAGGGTTTAGGTAAAACAGTGTAAAAACACCAAAAGTAGGAGCAGATATGCTTGAAAAATAACCATGAGAGCGATCCAGTCACTGCAGGAAAGCAACAAGCAAGGTCTGCACCAGATTCCCGCCTTTACAGCCAAAGCGATTAGCTTATTAGCATTTTAGCTGTAAACATAAATTGGCTGTGACCGCCCTCTAACCATCACTGTGCCATTATCATTAGTCATCCTAATGATTGTCAGGCTGTGAGTCATCCGAATGGAGAAGAGTCAGGGGGGGAAATGGGACGACGGTTATCATCCAGGTGTAATCGAAGGCGCTCCATCCAGCAGCCGTTTTGTTTCATTGTCACCTCAGGCCAGCTGTTTGTTTTTTAATGTATTTATATATATATAGTTATATTTTCTTTACTTCAAATGCTCGGCAGTACATTGTGTCACATCTCCGCACTTGAGTCTCAGAACCACTTGGTTGAGCAACGGTCTCTGCGTCTTGTTGTCATGACGGATATCCAGGAAGAAAAAAAAAACAAGAAGAAGAGGAAGAAGAAGAAGCCACAGAAAGATGCAAAAGAAATCTTTCGAAGGTGCAGAGGAAGTCCAGGATGTAGAGGATGCTGCAAAAGAGATAAAGATAAGTTAGGATTAAACAGTGCTGAGGCCTTGAAACATCTGCACAGGCAAACTGTCCAATTATTTTAGAAACCAAAAAATTCTGTGCTGCTCTCTAACTTTTTTGTGCTTTAACACTTGATTTGGGGAACCACAACAAGGGTGCATAAGAGGTTTAGTTGAACTATTTCAATGCACATTACATACTTAATTTTTTTCTATCATTTAATGTAACTTGCACCGCTAAGTTCAACGTTTGGAACATTTTGGCCCTCAGTCATGTGTCCTTTTGTCACCAACATTGTCCTCTACCCTTGCAGCTTTCTAGTATACAAACACACACACATCTAGCCATAAATGCACAAACACTAACAGGCACACAGACAACACAAACCCCTCAACCTCCACTCAGCTCTCCATAAAAATAAAGATGACAATCAGAAGCCACGACTTTTAGACTCGGGCTTTAAACGAAAACAAAAAAAACTTCAGATGAGCCGCAGAGAGCTTTACATCTGGTCCCAGATCAGCCGGCCAGTGGAGGCCAGAGATCTGATATGCACAGAAGTGCATCCAACTGCCGATCACTCCAAAAAGTATAAAACACTCACACATACCCACATGGGTGCAGCAGAGCCAGGGGTTTCTGCAGAGGAAGGAACAGTTAGAAGCTTTGTGATTATAGTATAAACAATAGAGAGAGTTTTGTTTTCCTCGACTTCCACAGAACAATCTTCTCACGCAGAGCCAAATATCCACATGTTCTAAAACGGTGCTCATTAAAACACGGTGCAAGCTGTGGCTGGGAGTGCGCACGCTTCTGTTGCTGTGTAAAATATAGAGGACACTGTTTGTGTTATGAGCAAATTAAATCAAATAAAAAAACATGGTGTGGAAGAAGCAGCTGAGCCACTATGTAATAAGCTGGTTTATAGTCTATGAGTGCGATTTGAGGTGGCAAGACTAACTGTACATTAAAACACTTCATGTTTTTAACTTTGAGAAAATATTAAAGCGTCTTCAGAAATCCCACAAATTATATCTAAATTTTAGAGATTAAGTCCAAAAAAAATTGCTTAAAAAAATGTTGTTCCTCAGATTTTACTCCTTATAGGAACGTATTTGATTGAAGTGTAAAAACTGATGTTTACACCCATCCTAAATTTCCAAGAGTAGTTTTTCAAATCCAATTTTTGACGAAAATAACAAATGATCCTAAAAAAATAAACATATTATGTGTCTTGACCTGCTCTTCATCACATTAACGTTGGATTCAGATGACTGGCGCTTTTTTATCTTATTGTTAATCGTCACCTTCAACAAACATTATTAATAGTCCTTTTTAATGTAATAACAACTATAATTGATTATGTTTGCAACCCCACAAACTGTGGTTAGAATTTATATTTGTGTTGTTTTAATATTTTTTTTTGCCACTGCTGGTACCCCATATACATCCTACAATATAAACACATTTGAACCCTACGTGGATTTGTTTTATTTTTAAAGGAGTATTTGACTAACTGGAGGTAGTGACTTGTTTATTGCTATTGTAATGTTAATAACTTTTAAAATGTTCTTTGTAATTGCTCTTGTGATAAATGCAACATATATTGTATTTTATATGAACTTCAGATACCAGATTCCAGAAAGATTTAGCAGCAGCTTTGTAATTTAGTGTTTGGTATCTATGCTTCTTTCTGTATCTCTGCTTCTGTCTCCTTTAACCCTAGTCGGCCTCAGCAGATGGCCGCTCACACTGAGCCTGGTTCTGCTGGAGGTTTTTTCCTGTTAAAAGGGAGTTTTTCCTCTCCACTGTCACTACAAGCATGCTTGGTGTGAGAGATTCCTCAAGATCAATGACACATTGAAAATTAACTGACAGTATAGTCTCTGTAAAGGGCCTTGAAAGGACATGTATTGTGAATTGGCACTGTAATAATAAATTAAATTGACTTGAATTCATTTTTCCAAAACCAGCATAAATCGTCTTTTTCTAAGCTGCTGTCAGGTTTCTTTCTGTAGCAGTCCCCATAACGATGGTAATAAGATGCAGAGTGGATGGAGGTGCGTTCAAGGACACTTGCTTAAAGCCAGGCTCCCTTGGTCTGTATGTTTAAATGAGACCCGTTGTGTCTGTCTGCTGCGGAGGCCGCTGAAGGTTTAATGATATAATTCAGAGTGGAACACCTGCAGCGAGCACATGGCCCGCAGCTGCATGCTCAGGTCTGGATAGC